CCCCCCCCCCCCCCCCCCCCCCCCATTAGTTACGCCACTTTAAACTGATTCCCTGTGAGAATCAGTTTAAAAGAGATAAACGTATTCCCATAGACGCCCATTATGAAAACGAATCAGTTTAAAGTTAAACGGATCTGGTGCATGTCACCCTAAAACAGTGGTCGGCAACTGAATTTCAGGGGGGGCGGATGACAAAATGACGCACGTTCTCAGGCCAACACCTATCAAGTTTCTATAGGATTTTAATCTTGATGAATGTCTGTCACACGGCCAGCCGGACGGCGACTTTAAGTCCGCAACGTGCCAGGTCTGGCCATTGATAAAACTTTCCTAATTGCCCCTCGCACGAATGTAGCCCAACGCGACTCCACAAAGGAAAAATTGTCTGACGTTGAGTGTCCTTGAATAGTCTCAGACTCGCGTTAGATAACGGTAGGGACGTCGAATGATACCTTTGCCATCCGTGTGGACACACAGGACCATTTCTGTTCGTAGTCGCCAGCTTCCATTCCATGCGGTTTTTCGTACGGAGGGAGGGATCCGGGTTAGTTACTTTGTTCTTGTTTGAACTATCTTTTGAAGGACTAGGATCGGGGTAGCCGGAACATATAGCATCGCGCTTGCGTGGCACGTCTGGCTAAACCCCCGCAATTTGTACTAAGGGCAAACTGACGGCTGCAAGGGTCAGTGTTAACGTTACGTCAGCAACTTGGCGTGTCGCGGCCGACTAGGCTCACCCGAAGTGCTTAATTGATGTATATAGCAAATCCAGGTCAGAGCAGCGGCTTCGATACATAAACGTAAACTTTCAAAAAACGGAATTACTTATCACACGTCGAGTCGTACCGTCGCATGAAACCTCGAACAGGGCGTACGAATGTCCATTGCAGGTGGTGCATCCAGCTAACGAAGAGCCTGGAATGATCCTCGGAGGAGACGCATGAGGCTTCCGTCCGGTCTGGAGAGAAGGGTGGAGACCGTCGCTGTACGTGGCCTTCAGTGGGTGCCGTTCCGCGGGGGCGACACTCCTCTTGAATCCCAATAATCGACAGGGTGGCCATTTAAGTGAAATCATAGGAATAAGCTATCCGACAAGTCTTGCAATCTGCTCACGGGCATTCCGCGGGTCAGGAATACACAGTAAGCAGTGATGTCACAAAAAGGAAAAGGGGGCCACAAGAGGGGCCGCCCGAACTCGGCTCAATTCCTCTCGTATCGTCGAGCGATGTCATCGCTGTTCACTCCCGCTCAAAAGCTTCATCTGCGTTCTGTTCGCTTTTCTTAGCGCGTCGAGACGCTCGATGAAGCTAGTACTGACGCGTTGATACAAACTTCGCGACATAAAATGCAGTATTCAGAGACAAGGAATAGAAAATCTACAGGAAGACTTCTGGCTACCCAGCCAAACCTTCCTCATCTGGAAGAACCTTCGTGGCGTGCGCATCGACATAGGAAATAGAGATATATAAGAAATATACAGCTTAATAATATAACTTAATACCGTATTGCAAAAAGGTGGAGATTGATGAATCGAAGTTTGGAAAGAGAAAGTATCAGAAGTGAAGGCAAGTGGAGGGACAATGGATCGTGGGTAAGTATAACATAAAAACAATGACAATTACAAGCATGACTTCTACGCGAGAAAATGACAATAAACGAAGCAAGCTCCATATTCAAGGCGGAATCTGCAGGGAAACCAGGGACATATTCCTAGCCGAATGTCCCGAAAACAAACGAAATCAAACCGTCCTTCTCGAAATCATAAAGCATGTTCATCCGGAATCCACCGTCATCACCGACAGCTGGCGGGCATATGCAAACTTGGACGAGCAGGGATGGAAGCACTTAACAGTGAACCACACCCACAACTTCGTTGGTAGGTCTTTGTCACAATGGACATGAAACAAAAAAAAATTGACTAAGTACTTTGAGACCGTTGTCGGGTTCGATCCACACCCGTGGGGTTCAAAGATGAAGTGTTGAACATTAATCATGATCTATGAACAGATGTCATTCTGCATTCCCTACATATGCTATTTCATTTTTGGCCTCTGATCCTTTGAGTTAATCTTGAAAAGTTCCGCTGCTGGTACTCTTATCTCAATGAAATATTCAATTATCGATCGATTTAACTAGAATTAGAGTTCTGTCAAGTTTTAGAACGAAAACTTTTCTGTTACCCAACGGTTAAGTAAAGTCATGATAGATTTTCGCTGCAGGATACTGCAAAAGTAGGCACAATAGAACCGTTCCCTCGCTATTCGACCTGCAATGGATTCTTGACACACTCAATGGTTACTATGTGCAACAAATTATCGAAGGGGAAGACTTTCACCCACTAGTATTGTAATTGCTTCATAACCCAGTTAAGCACCGCGAATTAAGGAACCAAATACCAAGGTACTGTGTAAGAAAAATGCATGCATACCGACGCAGTCGCCAGTGTCCACGCTCGAATCGTCTCTCGAACAGGCGGATAGCAAAGAGAGGAGGCGGAGGAACGCCTGGGGGGTGGGAGCCTCTCGGTTCCCTATCATTTCGCTGAGTGACAGCTCGCCGAATTCAGTTTTTCGACTACAATAAGCTGGAAGTTCATTTCGTCGACCTTTAATTCGCCGACTATTCAACGATAGCTCAGCTCGCCGAAACTTCATTATTCCTTGAAAGCAGAAGCATGAATTATTTTCATCCACCCTATAAATAATGGGATTAGAATTAGCCCACCTAAATCTTCACGAGGAGAAGGGCTGCAGTAAGTCGATTTGCAAATTTTAGTGCCTTAAAATATTTTCATCGCTGTTCAGCTGGAGCCGGATTAGTCTTCGCCTGGATGAGACGGTTTTGTCAAGACGGGATTAAGCCGTCCCTACGCCCCCACTGACGGAGAGAGGAATTTGGGGGTAGGGCAAGGCAAGTGACGCCATAGTTATGGATTAGTGTCAATGAGGGTGGAATGAGGGGAAAGGGCGTCCCTGTTTTCTGTCAATCTGTCAACTTAGACGACCTGAGTAGTTTCCAAATACTAATCCCACCCTTCCCAGTATCGTATATATAAAGCTAAGGCTTTGTCATGACAGCATTGCGTTCTCGTAATGGCAACCCTCCAGTTTGTGACAACCCAGCGTGGTCATCGTCCTTGTCAAGTCATCCTTGATGGCTACATCTACCTTCTCGACATGAAACTTGGGCAGAAGACCTACTGGCGATGCGAAGACAGAACCTGCACCTCCAGACTGCACAGCGTAGGTGACGTCATTGTGAGGCCGCCATCCGAGCATTATCCCCATGCACCATCATCAAGTCGCGTCACTAAGGTGATGTCTGATGTTCGCCGGTTAGCCCTTGTTTCTGAGAGTTCCACACGCAACATCGTGAAGTAAGCAACAGCAGACGTCCCCATCGTCGCCACTCCTGCTCTGCCTTCCAATGCTGCACTGTCGCAGATAGTTCGTCGCAAGCGACAGCGACAACTAGGTGATGAAGACGACGAAGATGGCCTGTGCATCATTCCTCGGCGTCTACAGTGCACCACCGACGGTCAGAGCTTCCTGAATCATTCTGGGGAAAATCTTGCCTTCGCATCTGAGCGAGCATTGTCCTTCCTTGCTGCAGCTGATCATTGGTTCGCCGATGGGACTTTCAACTTTTCCCCACCGGGTTATACTCAGCATTCATGCTCTGATGGGGGAGTCGACGGCTTTGCCATGTGTCTTTGCTTTGCCGAAAGATAAAACGGCCAGTTCATATACGGCATTGCTTTCACATATCTCTGACGCCAGTCTCGGGGATCTCGCTCCACAATCCATCTTGCTGGATCTCGAGGCGGCAGCTATTCCAGCCTTCCGTTAGCGATTCTCGTGTGCTACTCTAAAAGGCCGCTTTTACCATCTTACTCAGAGCATCTGGCGTCGGGTGCAAGAAGCTGGACTCCAAACCCGCTACGCTGACGACATGGAGTTTGCTTTATAGTGCAAATGCTTGCCTGCGCTGGAATTTGTCCCTGAAGGAGATATCATTCCAACGTTCGAGGCCCCGACTGATGCTCCAGGCTTCTCTCGAGAGCTCGACCCAATTGTTGACTATTTCGAGTCCGACTACATTGGAAATGTTGGAAGGGACGGTCGTCGCAGCCAGCCTCTGTTTCCCCCTTTGTTGTAGTCCGCAGTACCAGCGTACCGTTGCTGGCCTCCTTAGAACCAACAATTCCGTGGAGGGATGGCACAACGCCTTCAGCAGCTCTGTGAACAAAGCCCATCCTTCGGTGCGAACCCTGGCTCTGAAGCTTCAACGAGAAGAAGCTTCTGCAACAGCTCTATCGGAGCGCCTTGGGGCTGGGCATCAGCTTCCAATGCACCAGAAGAAATCACCTGTCGAACGGCAGAGTGAAAATTGTCGTTTCTGGGTACAAGGGTCCCGAATTTCCCAAGTACTTGACAAGTATTGCTCATAATTATGATTTTTGATATATTTCTGCCGAACGATGACTTGGCAAAAAAAAAATACATTTTCTACAAGAATTTGAATGGCTTCAATGTTTCTTTTCACCTCATCCTTAGGAACACGAAATCTATCATGATTAATTATTGTAAATAAAAAAGTTTTCCAGGTGTTGACAAATTCGGCTATCATGTACAACGTTTCATTAAGTCAGCCAATTGAATACCTGGAGAGTTCTACTCGTCAGTATACATTTCAAGAAATTAGGCTTTCGAGTTGAACAATCGGTTAATAATGAGTCAGAAAATCGTGATTCGATGAGTTCAACAATCGGCGAATTGAGCATTCGGTGAATTGTAGTCGGCAAATGAGTTCGGCGAGTCAAGCGGTCACCGGACTCACCGGACGGATGGGGAAGGCGGATCTGGTAGGGTGTTGGCTGGATTGGCTTCTTTCGAGGGTATGATGAAGAGATCCGGCCACGCGTGGCGGGGCCGGATCGGGGGTGGACATCCGGCCAGAGGTGGAATCTTGACTGGTGAGAGAAGCTCTGTCCGTGTTCGGGGCAGGGGTGGAGGCTGGGCCGAAGTCCCGGCCATCCTTCAGACTTTCTCGGTGGGTCTCTTCATTCTAGTCCCACTTGCAATATGGGTCATTGAACAAATTCACAACTGCTTTTAACAATAAGCAGGTATGAATCGCTGTCTCCCGAGAAGAGGTCAGGGTATGTTAACTAGGTATTTTATCGATCATTAAGTCAATTCGTTGTAAGAGTGAGATGCAGATTAAAAAAAATGCACTTAAGCACCTCCTCTTTAGAAAGGATGTGATTAAGTCTGGGGAGATTGAAAGGAGGGAAAATAATGGGTGACATGCACCAAATTCGTTTAACTTTACCAGCATTTTGCTACCGAGGCACATTGTTAAAATTCATTTTACGATATCTACTGAACTGCTTGTGTAGCTTAGGTGTTCATTAGGCATGAATTACTTTCCTAAGGTGCCAGGGTCGTCTTTTCACAGGTCGTCTTTCAAGGAAAATATATCTTTTTTTTATGTTGGGCTAAAACGAAAACTGATCCATCTGCAAACGAGTCAAGGAAACGGAAACTTGGTCTAATGGGCATTGACCACTGTAGTTGAAGACCGTGTAGAGTGGAGATTGTGCTTCCCATCTTTTGGATTTGAAGAACAAGGAAACCCCTACAGGATTCAAGGAAATCAACTTTCACTCTGTCCCTAGCTTGATTCTGTCTTTGGGGTGAAAATCCCAAGGTACTAATCCTAACTTGGTTGTGCATGCCTTGACAACTTCATCCCCTGTGATGTTTGATCAACTCAAAGAGTTGTGATTTTGTCATTGCAGTATATGACATGGATAGGTGGTGATCTAGAGAAATTTCATTCCCTGTTCCAAAAATATGAAACTGAATTCTTTCCCTGAAGCTCCTTCCTGAATCAAAGCTTCAAAAATAAAGGAGGTTATGCATTTTTCATTTTTTTATTTGATTTGAATCATACTAACTCATAATCCAGGATGAACACCGTCATCATATTCTGTGTGACTCTTAATCAGGATATTCCCCAATAAAATATGCCTTATGTCTAAAGTTGGCCCATTAAATTATTCAAAGGTCATGGCAATGGGCACTGTTTACAAAAGTGGACACATTTTATAACAGCACATGCAGCAAACAATATAGCAAATGAAAAGGTCCCTTAAATGGTAAGAAGGTATGAAAACATTAGGAATTTAAACTTTTGTACTTTAGCCCAACTCTGACGATTCCACACTCATTCAAAACTGAGGTAACTTAATAAATTAAATTCACTCATTGTCAAGAGTTCATGCATTTATCTATTGCCTCTATTTGACTAGAATGTGGTCATCCCTCCTTGTCTCAGCCAATCAGCCTAGTCCTCAGCTTATTTTCACTGCCCAGCATGGCCCATGTGGTTTGTAAACAGAGGCTTAATGGGCTTTGGCCCTGTCCGTAGGTCTAGGTGTAGCAAGATTGGCCATGTATACGTAGCAGGGCTCAAAGGAGGACTCCACATAGACAATGTCGTGTTACTTGACAATTGAAAATCCTGGTGCAGTGGACTGCAATATAATCTTTTCATCACAAAAGAAGCCAAATGTTGAAGAAAAACCCAACACAGTATATAGCAAATGAAAAGGTCCCTTAAATGGTAAGAAGGTATGAAAACATTAGGAATTTAAACTTTTGTACTTTAGCCCAACTCTGACGATTCCACACTCATTCAAAACTGAGGTAACTTAATAAATTTAATTCACTCATTGTCAAGAGTTCATGCATTTATCTATTGCCTCTATTTGACTAGAATGTGGTCATCCCACCAATTAGTAAATGCAGCCCACTTTGACATCCTCATGCGGTAGGCCTCCTTCTCTGAGCTAATCAGCCTAGTCCTCAGCTTATTTTCACTGCCCAGCATGGCCCATGTGGTTTGTAAACAGAGGCTTAATGGGCTTTGGCCCTGTCCGTAGGTCTAGGTGTAGCAAGATTGGCCATGTATACGTAGCAGGGCTCAAAGGAGGACTCCACATAGACAATGTCGTGTTACTTGACAATTGAAAATCCTGGTGCAGTGGACTGCAATATAATCTTTTCATCACAAAAGAAGCCAAATGTTGAAGAAAAACCCAACACAGGTGCATATAACGGAATTACATACGACCACCAACGCCACAAATGAACACACCACGGAAACTCCTCCCGCCAAACCGGACACTCCAGCGATTGCCACGCACGCACTGCCGTCTCTTTCCTGCTGCTCTGGGCATCTGACGTCACTAATACCGAGAAGCCGAGTGAAAGAGAGAACTCCGCTATAGCCTGGTTAGAGCGGCGGCAACGAGATCGCACCGGCCTTTATCGTTTGCTTTTGACGGAAAGAATGGGCCGATACATCCTATCTCATAATTATTTAGTCTAAATTTTGCATATAATGCATAATAAAGGTTGGTAATAATGCCGATTACAGTAACGTTATGGATACTGAGGGTGATGAAAACCCAAGAGCTAAAAAAAAAAAAAAAAACGCCACCGATCCCCACACGACGATCCGAAAGGGTCTCCCTCAACTGACTCAAGACTGCCGTCCATCTAACAACACTGCCTTCCATCTGACAACACTGCCTTCCATCTGACAACACTGCCTTCCATCTGACAACACTACCGTCCATCTGACAACACTGCGGTGAATCGTAAACCCTTTGCCTCGCAGTGGCAAGACTTGAAAGACGCGCCGGTAATTTTGCTTTCATCGGATCATCTGGAAGTCGAACAGAGGCCTGCAAATTGCACCACGTACCCAATGACCTTTCCTCTCGGCAAAAATCAAAACGGTAAATTTGTAGCTACCAGCGAGTCCACGCGCAACGGCCATTCGACCGAAACACCTGGAATTCTTTCATATCACGGTCTGATGTCTTCGAAGAAAGAGCAATCCCGCGTCTTTTCGTGCGAGACGTCATATGAAAAATCTGGAGGTGCCTCAGTCGAGCAGCCTGTCGAGTACTCAGGTAGTTACAAACTCATAGCGTTCACAGGGGCCGGATTAACCCATAAGGCCTTAGGCCCTCATATTTTTCGGACCTACTTTAGGCCCTCCATTCCTTTTTTTTTGTTGCAATATGTAATTCATACATAATCCCTTCCCTCCCATTAGCCTTAGGCCCCTCATATCCATAATCCAGCCCTGAGTGTTCATAAAGCCGAGAGGAAAAGATAGATGTATACGGGGTACGATTCGAATAGGTCTCTGCCCAGTCTCAAAGTTGAGAAATGAACGGAACAATCACGGCCCGTTCTTCTCGTGCCAACCTGGTTCCCTCCAGCAAGGCGTCTTTTCTGTCGGATACGCATTTGAGTGCACTCATATTTTAGTAACATCTGCATGCGGCTGAAAGCCCCTCTTTGATGCAGCTGGACTTCAGGGCATCATCCCCCCTTCCTATATTCGCTCTAAAATTTGAATCCTCGCAACTAAGTTAAAACCCGACGCGGAGCAGAAGACGGCGACGCAAAAGCGACTCGACGGCTCGCACGGTATCGAGATTCAATTTTAAAAAAAAGGAGGTCGAAAAGAGGACGTCCTTGTCTCGAGCCAGACGTGATGGAAAAACAAACACCCGAAGGAAAAAAAAATAAAGGTTCATCTGAATCCCAAACGAAAGCTCCGCGATCTCCATCCCGCCGGTTTATTTCGGGACGATCTCCGTTTCCCACGATTCACCCACCACGAGGGAGCCCTCCTCCCTCCAAGAGGAAGTACATCCTCCCTCCAAGAGGGAGGATGACGCTGCCATCCTCTCCGCGCAGAGAGCGAGCGAGCAGACGGAGGAGGAAAAAGGGGTGCGGAAGGCGCGACGGATCCCAGTGACTCGGCGACCGCCGGCATGTGAGCGTCGCGCGAGGAGAGCTCTTCCGGGTCCCCGCCGATTCCGTCATGGACTCGAATCCGGTGGCTCTCGGCGTCGTCGCCGGGCTCGTCTATCTCGTCGCAGGTGGGTCAAACGGATTCTTCTTCCGAGTGATAAGAATCGTCTGAAAAACCCTTCCTTCACGAAATAGCAGTTTCTAACACTTTAATCCCCCTGCCTTTAACCGCCGATGCAAGCCGCGCATGCAGGGCGGCCGACGTCATCGTCGTTATTCGTCGTTACTCGTCGTTATTCGTCAACGATGTATTTCAAGGATCGATTTTTCGCTTCCTCAGTCGCAATCCAAAGCGCGCCCGACTCACGTCGCAACGACGCAAAAGGCAGACGTGATCAGAGGCTTATTTGCTTGACCTCTCCCGTGTTTTCTTTTCCCACGAAGTCAGAGAGAGAGAGAGTGAGAGTGAGAGAGAGAGAGAGAGAGAGAGAGAGAGAGAGATCCCACCAAGAATTTTGCATCCGTGCACGAAATCTCAACTTCGATCGAAATTCAGACCGATAAGGAATGCTTGCCGATCGGATTCGCACAGCACTTCTAAATTGCTCGTGGCATTTTTTTTTAAGTGAAAAGGGAAGGATTGATGCCTCACTGACATTCAGCGTCAAACTGCCATTCACTCTCTTGTCAAACTACCAAGGAAAAATGGCTGATGTGGTAAAACATGAAATTTGACAATAATAATAATAATAATAATGCGAATAGCATGTTTAAATGGTGGGTGGGTTTAAATGAGTGAGAATATCGGGGGACTTTCAGCTGCACGAATTTTTTTTTTTAATATTAACCTAGGGTTTTTTATTTATTAGTTATGTTACATGATATTAAACATGGTATAAAAAACAAACAAGAATGTTTGTTTTTATTTCCTGTCGATGGCCTCATCTGTTTACCGCTGAAATGGCTCTTCGGTAAGTTGCTCGGGTAAACTTACCACATAGGGTAAACCCATCTAAGTTCGGACATGATAAAATAAATTGTTATAATTAATTTGCGAGGTCATCCTCAGAAACAGCTCTTCCAAGCCGTGAGTTTCTGAGGGGAGTGTCCAACAATAATTGGTTTTGTACCGATATACGTGATAGTACTTAGTACTACCACGTACTTTGAATGCTTAGGTACTATCCAAACTAAGATGGTTAAACCCTATGGGCCACCGCGAACACTTCAGAATGTGGTGAAGGATTAAGGGGTCATTGAGTCACCTGGGCGAACACCGACTCAACTTTTTTTTTTCCCAGGTCATTTTCTCCACAGGCAAGGAAGAAAATTGCCCGCACAGGCCAAGTCCTTAGTACATAGGGATGAAAATTTCCGTCATTTTTAATAGAGGGAGACGCAGCCGGTTCCTCTGTAACGATCAATTTCCCTTTTGTCGAAGATCGCATTCGTCTTTTCGAAGATTCAAACCAGAACGGAGCCGAAAACCGGAAAAAAAAGACTATAAGATTTCGATCCAACATAATTTTCATGGTTACCAGATTTTTTTATTTTCCGTGTCCTTGCTCCCTCAGTCGAGGATGGTGTTTTTACAGCCCAGCTTCTGTGCGTGAGTGCTCAGACGCGATTCCGATTCCCCGTTTACAGCTATGAATCCAGATCGGCTGCTCTCGGAAACTGTTTTTATTTATTTTTTTTATTTTTAAATGCGGCAAGTCACAGTGAGATTAACTTCTTTCGAGTTTAAAACTGACTAACTTTTAGCGGAAAAAGAAATATTTGAAGCATTGAGCCGAGCCGAAACGAAATCAGTACAGTAACTGAAAACAAATCGATAGTTCGTTTGCTCTGATGACCTATTTGAAGAGAAATGCAATTAAAAAAAAAAAACGTTGCTCGCTTCTTATCCTATCCGCAGTCGCGGATTACTTTTTTTTTCCCGATTTGCTTCTTTCGAGCTGCTTGGGGGAGCCGAAGGAGAGGATTGATGTTGATGCGCTGCGTCATTCACAATCAGTTTCTACCGAATCCAACATAATCCTCAATTCATTAAAATTTTCTAACGAACTTTTAGACAAAGGATTCTACTTTCTTCTGACGATGCAGACGGCAGATACGCCGAATCCAACATTCTCATCGTGGAGGGCTACCTAAAAAAGCAATTAATGAGCTTCGGATCTCCGGGTGCAGGACTGGAGATAACGTACTTCCACGTGCCAAGCGCAGTGCAGAACGGATCGGAGGCGGTACTGGTCTGCGACTACTCCTACATGGACCACGAAAAGGACTCCCTCCGGGTCCAGTGGTACTTCCGCCAACAGAACGGCGGGGAAGCAGATGGGGAGCTCGTCTACGAGTGGCTGGGACCAGACGGCGGACTTCCCAGGGCCGTCGGAGTCTTGGAGGGCAAAATCGACCTTCAGCACGATGCCTCGCTCGATCCCTATAAGATGCACAGCGATCTGAAAATCCTGTCTGAGAATCTGCATCTCGGTCTGTCGGGGGATTTCACGTGTCTCGTCGCATCTGAGTTTGCCAACGACTCTCGTACCGGATCCCTTCTTGTCTACGGTATTAAGGAGATATTGCTTCTCATCTTACTTACACGCTTTTCTCTTCTTAAGTTGCGTACATTTTACAGGGCATATGACTCCAAGGCATTAGGGGCTTACATGCTCTGTAAACAGGATAGAAATGATGATTCTGCATCATGCATAATGATACTATTGGCATCAAAACAAAAAAATACGTTTTAATAAGCATTATTATTTCAGTGCGTATATTGCCCAAAGATGTCAGATGACATCAAACCTGTATCTCACATACCATCGCCCCCCCCCCCTCAAAAAAAAATAATAATAATATAATATAATAAATAAAATAATAAAAAAATAAAATAAAAAATAAAATAAAATAAAAAATAAAATAAATAAAATAAAATTCATAACGAAATATTTTCTAAAATTTCCAAACTAAATGATAATTGACATAAACCCTCTATTGCATGAATTATGAAAATGAGGGGGGGGGGGGGGAAGTATTAAGTACTTCCTTTCATGACCTAGTCTGAATATTCTGATATACACTTCTTATCCTTCTACAGGGTGGTCCAAAAGTCTCCATACATAGAGAAAATTAACACTTTTTAACAAAATGTAACTTTATTCACAAAATATGCTCTACATGGTTGGCATTACTTTGAAAACACATACGGATGCGACTCTCCCATTCATGGTGAACTCGCGTTAATACATCTGGTGTTATGCGTTATGTTAAAGTTACACTTTTTAAAAAGTGCTAATTTTCCCTATGTATGGAGACTTTTGGACCACCCGGAATTGTAAACTCATTACTATAAACAAATGCGAGATAAAAGGTACATTCGCGTATTAACTGAATACTCTCTACACGATGCCAATTGGCATCGCGTATACGGCACCAAGGCATTCATGAGTCATAACGGCTATTCTGTAGAGGCCATGACGGCTCGGCATTTTCTCTTTTCAAGGACACGTTGCACAACTGAAATGTGAGTCCCAAGATCTGATCCCGATTCACTCATGATGGTTATAATGGTTCCCTTGCTATCCCCATAGAACACGCGTTGAAGAAACTTGAACCGTGAATAGGCGCTTATAGGCGAAACGCTTATGTGAGTTCCTGGAACTAAAAGTAGCAGTTACCACTAAGAGTATAGGAAGACCAGGCAACTTCTAGTAAATAAATTTATTGTAACTTTTAAATTAAAAATGTAATCGAGGCAACCTGTTGCAGTTCACCATTGAACGTATTGTTTATTTTTCAGCCCCAACTCGTCGCTTGCTCTTCACGAAGGTCAGTGAAGAGAATGGAACCGTGACAGTTCGTTGCCTGGCCGACGGAATGCAACCCGAACCCACAATGGACATCTTTCTCTCCCTAGACGAGAACAGGTTCTTATAATACTGACCCGTACTTTCAACGTTTAAGACTCACTTGACTTCTCGACCTACAACTTTACGCAAGGACGCGGATCCCGACACACGTGGAGACCACGTGGAGCAAGGATGGCTTGTTCGGGATGGAATCGGAGACGACGGTGACATTGCCGTCCTCCTACGACCCCCTCGGCCCAGCCGCCTCCATCCAGTGCATGATCAAAATCCCCGAAGCCAAATACACCACCTCCAGGTTCATCGAACTCAGCTCTGGACCTGGTATCATCTGCCCCCTCCTTATTTAAATTCTAATTTCATCCTCAGCCGTTGAGAAATAATCAGTCCGTTTTAATATTGTCGCACTCTGTCCCGTGAGGGAAAAAGTTAAAGTGTAATATTGTTGCAGAGTATGGTTCGGGGATGGAAGACGCCCGACTTCAACAAGGAGACGAAGATCGTTATTTTCAAGCCTTACCCGACCTCATCGTCGATCGCCGAACAAGTGAGATCTCTCTAACTAAAAATAAAAACCACAATTCACGGCAAGATCCGATGTTGGAGAAGAGAGCAACGTGTTTGGATAAGCCGTCTGCCATTCATCTCTCTTGTGCTTGACATTCAGTTTACATACCCTTTTCCCTTTCTCTCCATTGTGCATAGAAGAGGAGGAGGAGCAAATACTGCTCTCTCCTCTTCATCCCATGCACCAGTGCAGTCTACACAAGGTCAATGGGAAAAAAAGAAAAAATCCTCGCCTCCTACTCCCCTTTCATTGATCCAGGAATAGATTGGAGACCAGGAAGGAATAAACACACACGGCTTCCGAGACACCTCGCTCTCACCTCAGGCATACACAGAGGGTCTCTATGAAAAACTAGGTCCTTGGAAATAAACTCGAAGTTGGTTCTGGGAAACGTGTCAAAACTTTCTTGCCCGAGTTGAAATGCCGAATGGAAGAGATCGGCTTCCTTTGCATTACCATTCATCACCCCTGGTTCTATTGATATTGTTTTGTCTCTTTCTAGTTGGGAGGAATGGAAGTGGAGGAAGAGAGGCAAACAAAATTTGCTGGTCCTTACTCATTGGTTTTGTGTACCTGATCTCTGTTTGCTGATTTTAAACCTGTGGCAATCACATTCCCTTTACAAAAAAAAAGATTTAAATAAATTTCTCTGCTGTGGATGCATGATCTACTTGCGATACTCTCATTAAAAAAAGAAATGATGAGACGATATCCATCCAAACACCTTCGTTCATTTCAATTGTGAAGACAAAAATATCACTTTGTACTTGCAGTGCAAGGGTAAGGAAATGTCCTTGGAAGTTACACAATGCTATATTGCTGATAGAGGAGATCTCGGATGGTGTAATACTCAGAGGAAAGAGAACCCTCCATTGTGATTCGCCCTGCATCATGCTAAAGCGGGAATCAGAAATATGCAAGAAACGTCAACAAAAAGAAACTTTGACAAAGTTCTGGGGGAAAGGAACTCACACGTCGCAGGGCCACAGTCCCATTGCAACACCACAGGATACCAGCAGAGAATTCAGAAGGAATTCCTTCCTTGGTGAGAATCTGCTTGAAGTCAGACAACTTTACATCATTCACAAATGATGTTTCATGACCAGGCACCTATTCATTTAGAAAAGAAAACCAAGGATGGGAAATTTATTTTCAATGCTTCATCCAATAAATCATGCAATGAGGGCCTGCCATGATAAGATCACTCACATCTTCTAAGGGCAAAGGTTCCAGTGTTGGAATGAGCTCTTTTGTTCCACTGTCATCTACAGTGAAAAGCACATAAATTCTTTCAGAGTTCATCACTGCAAACAAGCCTCTAGGTTAGGTGGAATTAAGTCTCTTACCTAACATGTCAATATCATGCCTCTCTTCTTTTTCGGCAAGCTCGAGTTCAGAGTAACGAGGCCTCATGCAAATGACACCATCAATCCATGACAGTTCAGGTGTCCCTTCTTCCCTTCCCCCACGAGAGAAGTGTAGCATGGCAATCAGTGAATCCTTCAATCTCACCTAAAAGGAACCAAAATAAAACATTCTCAATATGTCCCAACATATCTACCAATTCTTTGCTTCCAATGCCAACAAGATGAAAGAACCATGCAAAAGATATAGCACAATAGAAAAAGAAAACTCTAAACTTTCAGTAAAATTCAGATTTGGTATGGTTGCAAAATGGGTTGCACTAATTGCTCAAGAAATTCACTTAAGTTGCAATAGAATCACCTGGTAGATATGGCTCTCTGTGGATGCATCAATGACATCTGTTCCCTTGGTGATATATGACTTTTCAACACCATTTTTCAAAGCATGAGCCTGTAAGGCCTTGCAAGCGTCAGCTGAACCACGGACAATCAGCAGACGACGGGGTTTCACCTATTCACACGTGGAACATGCACTCTTCATGATCTTATATCTAAATACTGCAACTCTCTGCACTGGACAAAGTACATACCTGCGAGATGATTTTCTTTATGCTCTCTCCATCAGATCTCCCTTCAAAATCAATGTATTGCATCTGGGCTTGAACATGGAAGGTCTGTACTGATGATATGCACTTGGTTGGAATCTCCAGATCCCCTGCTAGTAATCAAAGCCCCAATTAGCAGCAATCCACATTGCATTACATAAGACACATGAGGCAGTAGAACATAACCTGATAGACTATGCCAAAAACCTCCAAATGAAAAATAAATCTCAGCCTCTCATCTTTTAGAAGGAAAATAATAGTTTCCAATGTGGAACACCTGTTACTGTTGGCAGCCAGCCAAAGTAAACAGAAGCAAAACACGTTTGGTTATTTTGCCAGTTTCACAGTCATCTGGCATGTTTCCCATTGAAGCAAAGAAGGTGAGTCTCTGAGCTTCTCTGCTATCTCAGAACATGTTGTCTCATAAACAAAGGAGTAAAAGAACCACAGAGGTAACAGTTAGACTCATAAATGTTATGCTTGCCAGGGAGAGTTGACTCATGCAGAACCACTCACAATAGGAAACGCTTACAGCTCTTCCTAGACTGTCCAAAAAGGGAGAGCTAATAAATTTAAGAGTATCTCCATCTGATATCAAGCAAGTCTCAAGTTCAGCATGTGACATATCTCAGAAGGAGGAGGATATTGTCAATTTAAAAAAATGTCATCCAATGCTTCATGTGTCGGAACTTCAGTGTTGACGCATTAACAATTTTAGAGAACAAGCAATATGCTTGCTGCTCCCTACCAGGTACTTCACTTATGCAACCTCAAACATGACTAAGTAAAGACAGCAAGCAGTCTCAATGAGGAAATTGGCTTATATTATGTTTTTTTTTGCATTTTTCGAAAACACAGTTTTCGTTTGTTGTTCATATGAGCTCCCAAATTTCTGAAACTTGAAGATATTTGAAACGTAAACACATCATTTTAAACCTTATTCATTCCTCTTTCAAATGCCACAAACCATATTAAAATATATGCAGTGAGGGAAGTGTAGTAAATCATTGAAAACTGTCTAGTTTTTCTTGGCTCATATAGTATATAACTAGAAATAGTCCTATCAAATTTTTTTCATGGCACATACTTCTGTGCCATAAACTTTTCTGAGGCTTGACATTTACTGGAGCAGAATGTATGAACCTGATGATTATGCCTCTCTTTTTTTCTTCTTGTTTTTGCTGTTATTTTTCTTGCCCTGGTGTTTTTTGCCTACTGAATGGGCATAACTACATTAAATAAACTTCAAATGAATCCAAAGAAACATTAAAAATCATGGATTGTACCATCAAAAATGTTTATAGGGTTTCTAAGATCAACCCAAGAAAACCAGGAAGGCCTTATTGCAGTTGCTGCACTTTCAGACTCAAAGTATTGCTTACCAATTAATTCCTTTTCTTTGCTCTCAACCTCTTCTTTCACATGAGTGTCATCTAAGGCAGGCTCCACAATCATGTAATCTTCTGGTCTAAAGTAAAGAGGAAGATATGGGACACAGTGGTTCATTACTGACCTACAATAAGGGCAAGGACAAGTAGACAAGACATGGAATAGAAAATACCTGATGATCTGTCCATAGTCATCAGATCGGATCTTTTCCTCCGTGAAGGGGAACATGGGATGCATGGTCTTCTTTGTGGCCTTGAAAAATCCAGTCGAAGAGTGAGTTTTATGTTCTTCAGCCACAATAAAATCTCTCTTAGCTGACTTCCCCAGCTCCATCTCATCATCAGACTCATCACTGCTGCTCTCTTCAGTTCTGTAAATGCATGAAATTCAAGCATAATGAAGCATAAATATGCCAAAAATGATGAAGAGTCAGTGTGCAGAGCACAATTGTACCTATCTTGTTTCTTGTTCAGAGCATCCTTCTCCTTCACTGTCTTTAAGTACTCTTCCAGTTCAGCTCCTTCCAGACGTACTCTATGGGAAACACTTAGTTGCAGGGATTGACTGACAGGATTCTCAATGAGGTGTCTTGCCAGAGAGCTGGGAGATGTCCTGTATATGAGAACAATGAGAATCCCAGCTAATCAGCAGTGTAACATTCATTTACAAAACCTTGATATCAGGACATTTAAAATTATACTTCACTGCTGAAAATCCAACATAAAATATTCAAACTCTTCAATCACCTGCAGCTGCTTCAACATTTTCAGTGACATACACTATTCAATGTGATTTTTTGTATCATAGCTAAAATTCACATGGAAAATAAAAGAGAATAAAAGCCAAGCAGACTGTCTGTGAAACTCAAATTAATAACTAATGAAACTGAACTTTCAAGGAATCAACCGATATGATGACTCAGAAAAAAAACTAGAATAAGATTACATCTAACAGCCAAGGACACGATTGAAACTGAAATTATTTGCTGGACTTAATAACACAAGTCTACACAGTTAGTCATACCTGCCAACAGAGGTAGGCTCACATCTTACCTAGAAGTGAAGATAATAGAGTTGTTCTTCCTCTGACACCACGACATGAAAAGATCACGTGAGAAACCAGACTCAAGGTCAGGCATACTTGCCAATACAACCTGAAATGGAGCAAGAGGAAGCATTTGTCATTATGTCAAGTGAAATTATTCATTATAAATTATAATGAATGTGAGGATGATCACCTTGGGTTCAGGTACTCGAGCCAGTTCTGCCAAACTATGGCAGAGCTGGAGATGCTTGAACTGGAATGGATTGTTCCGGTTTGCTTCAAAGCTTCTCATTAGTTTTTCACTCATCCACTCAATCTATGAGAAAGGCCAGCATATAATGTCAAAATTTCTGCTTGATAAATGAATTGGGTATGCAATGACAAGTTCTTTCATCAGAAACTCACTTGGGATTTGGCAAACTCAACTACATTGTAGCTGACATTGTTAATAAGAGCAAGGGAATAGGCCATGAGGCCAGATTCCTGGTTTCGCCACAACTGATCAACCATGTGAGCAAGTTCAAGGACACGACCTGCAGTGTCTGTGCAAACCAGGACATTCCCACTGCTCCGCAAGGTCTGTAATATGTTGGCTACCAACAAAAAGGAACAACAGCATTAATGGAAGGTCCAAAACATAAACTTTAGAGATGAGTGCATAAATTTACTCATGAGTTGTTCATCACGAGCTCTCCTCCTCTGCTGTTGGTAGTTGACATTGAGGGCATCAGTAATGAGGAGGGATGGTCGTCCAATGGTATCTAGGTTGCAACCATTCAGGTGTCGTTCTTTCTTGTGATTGAAATCCACTGCATACCAAATGTCCTCTTCTCCATCCTTCACTATCTTCCACACAGTGCCGCCAATCATGTGTCCGGCTGGGACAGGTGTGATAGTGAGACCAAATCCCTTCCCTAGAAGATAAATTCACAGACTCCAGACATATACTTGGGTCTATTTGCGAGTTGTACTGTGCCCAAATATCATGATTGACATTGTGTCAAATACTTTGATGTGCACACACGAGGTTCACTATGAGGGGGGAGTTCAAAAAGCTTGTAGAATGAGGCACTTCCAGTGGCAATACACCATTCTTATGGCCAATGCACACTGACTGCAAAGTGCTGCAGCAAAACTGCACTGCAACTGTCTGTGAAGTTCGCAGTCATTTCTTGACTGCAACCATATATGAAGCATGACACTGGTCACAGAACTCCCAAGTGAAAACCAACATGACTGTGTACAATTTGAGAGCTTGTGCTGCAACACTTTTGCTTTTTTGTGGGCCCAAGGGGAAAAGCTCTCGACGGTGGTAGGTACATCCTGTACACAAATCCTGTCATTAGATTGGAGAATTCGCAACCCTAGTAGAAAATATTATCACCAAAGACAAGGAGTGCTTTTCTCCTATGTCCAAGAGAACATCACCTAAGCTGTTCAAGACTCTTCTGATCTGCTGAAAGAGAGGGCAGGACACAAAGTTCCAACCATGCATTTCCCTGCACAAGTGGTGGCAGTGGCACTGAGTTGGGTAAATGCATACTCCATACAAATACTTTGTACACCTCAAATATGTAAAAATCATACAGCATTCTCCTGAGGGAGGGGATAACTTAGGTTTTTGTACTCGAAGAGCAAGTGTTTCTCAACTTGAAAAATTAAAGTTAACCCTTTAATGCATGAGGTAGCAGATATGCTACATACCAAATAAACATTTTTAAAATAAGCAGGTAGCAAACTCCTGAGGTAAATCGGTTCATAGCAGATGTGCAACAGTCTGATCCTTATACCTAGCAACTATGCAGTCACTAGGTGTCATACACTCCTGGTGGCAATCAAATTAAAACCAATCTGACTTCATCATATGGCAGATTAACATTTTTTATGTTTTTGATTTAATTTTCTTAAACTTTACATTAATCCAGGGTCCAGGCTCGTCCGTATTTTTACATTTTCTTTTGTGTTGAGGCATGTACAAATTTTGATGGACCAACTGAGCTCTCTAGCATCCATGCAGCATGGATTAGAAAGCTGAAAATGCTGTTAGTAGCAAATAAGCAACAATGACACTTTCAGGCCTACTGCTTACAAATTTGATTTTTAAAAATTTTTTCCACTTGATCTGGGTTCTAGGACGTGAGTGAAACCTATCAGCTTTTTTTTGCCAAAAAAGAAAAAATCATGCATTAAAGGGTTAAAATTCATGGATTGAAACAATGGAAAATAATCAGGAATATAATTGATATGGAGACCTTTCTTAGAGATTTATCTACTATAGCTATGTATCTCGCTCATGAAGAATCAATGGTGATGATATACTAAGATGCAACAGGAAATGACCAGTCTGATTCTGTTGTGAAGCGTACTGCAACTGACTGCAAAGGTGCCACACATCCCCAACGCAACTGATTGCAACGAACTGTGATGGTCCCAGTGGTTGCAATGCAGCTCTTTGCAGCCAGAGTGCATGGCCCCTTGCTCTTCCCATGAGAAGACAGATGTTTTCATGATGACTGGCAAAATTTCATAATTTTTGTTGATGAAAGTATGAATTTTTTTCAATGTGGTACCAAAGGGTCTGCTGAAGGGATATTAAAATTGAGATAAATGCTGTAAAGAATTTTCTAATCTCTAAGGAGCCGATCAACCAACATATCTTTCATAGATGTGTCAGTAGGATACTATCCTCTAAGCTGCTGAAAGATCTGCTGGGAGACTGACTACTTAGAGATAAGAAAATTCTTAACAGCATTTGTTAATACCATTTTTAATACCATTTTAATACCACTTCAACAGACTCCTTGATAGCAAATTGAAAAAATTCATACAATCAATCTTTAAAAGACAAAAATGATGACATTTTGCCAGTCACCATGAAAGACATCTGATGTCTTCTCATGAGAAGAGTAAGAATGGAGCATTGCAACTGAAAGTGCCTCATTCTAAGAAATTTTTGAACTCTCCTTGTATGTCCTTCATGCATATGAGTGACTGGGTCAGGGATTTTATATTTGATCAACATCCATAGGACTTCACCTCTGACTTCATAGTAATTTTCATCAGGCATAACCTCAAGGTTTTAGAAAAAGTATGATGCTATGATTTCTTCCTGCACACTTAGATTTTAAAAATGTAAAAAAAAAAGATAAAAGTTTGGTTCAAGTTACTTTCAGTGATTCCAACTCACCTTTAAGTGTCACAGTTTGGTTGTACTTCAGCTGAATGATCTTGTCAAATGCTGCATCCACATCATCCAACGTGAAGATGGTGAATTCCTCCACATTGGAATGAGACTTCACAAGAATATAATTAAAAAAACATATAACTGTCTACAGTCATGCATAAATGAACTGCAAAGGTAGTTCAAATGGAAAGCAGAACACATTAGCTACCTGGTATAGATCATACATGAACATTTGTCCCATCTTGTAAACAGGAATGGTGGCATAGATGGGGCAGTTGAGATCACCTTTCCCGACCATGTATGGAAGTGCACCCAGATGAAGATGGTCAGGGTAGGATAGGAGGACAGCATCAATCTGTGACACATGCCTAAACAACAAAAAATGTGAAAGACACAAACACAAGCACCTCAATAACTTCTCTTGAAGATGATACAGTCAATTCCACATAATCGAATACCACTTAATGGAATACCATAGCACAGTCCCAATTTTTCTACCATAGGGTACACTATGAAAAACTTCGCATAAAGGAATACGGTTATTAGCATAATCCGCTTAAAGGAATAAAATTTCCTGAAACATGCAATACTTTTTTCAGTTCACTATAAAATGAAATACTTTTTTCCCCCATTAGCATTCTTGGAAAGTATCTTCCGGCCCTTCCCCCAGTCCTACCCTCCCACATCGTAGAACCAAGGTCACGAGTTCCCACTTGACTCTTCCATGAATCGAGGGCAGGAACAGGAGGAAAGGCAAGCACACCCTTTCCTAAAAATTAGGGGGTAAGTATAGGATGCAGGATAGCAGATGCAGAAAAGAGGCAAATAGGCATCAGTTCTGCACATTCTGAGTTGACCATGTGCAAAAGGAAAGACCTCAGCTTGACTGAAAATATCTCAGTTCTGAGATCTCCTCAGGATGAAAAGATGTGAGCTGAACTGGCTTGGTAGTTTGGGATCTCAGCCCCAAGTTTCAAAGATCACAAAAAACAAAAAAGCAAAATATCATAATGCACAAATACAGGTACTGTACTTCAGGATATACATTTTAAAAGCTGCCTAAAGTATGAAGTAGAAGTACATTATGATTGTTTCGGTGGAATCCTCCGGATTATAGACTAAAGTTCACTGGTCCAGCGAGTATTCCATTACGTGGAGTTGACTATAACACTGACTTACTTCTTCAATTCCTTGACAAGATTGAGATTGAAGTGTTCATCCCAGCCACAGTCTAGGAGGATGCGAAATTCATCAACCTGAAGGAGGTAACAATGTGGGGCTTCCTCCACCTCTCCATAGATTGCCTGCAGCTTGATAATAGATGTCATCTCCCTCCCTGTACCCTGCTGTGTTCTCAATGTACCATATCTATCACTAAGAGAACATCTGGATTACAGGATGCATGTGCACAGATGTATACTACTGTATAAGGACATGCTTCAGAAAGGAACAGGTGAAAATAACTTAAAGGCCCCAAATGAAGGTTAATCCTTCATCTCTGAGTGGTTGACAGGTATGGGGCACAACAGCTGCATCATGGGTCTTTTGCTTTCTATGACTCAAATACTGTAATTTTTCATGTTCATGAACTGGACTTCTCTCTGGAAGGTGGGAAACTCACAGGCCTAACTGTATTAAGATATTCAGAATCATTATATTATGCTTCCTGAGGGATGACCTCATCAGTTGGACCATCATGTCCCATGATATTTAATATCTTTCATTGAGAGAGAAAGTGCTACAATTTTGTTTTCGGTTGATGGTTCCTAAAAAATTGTTCCACTTCAGCAAAAAATAAAAGAACCTGAAAAAAGTTTATAGCAATTCAGTTTTTTTTCCAATGACAAGCCAAAAATATCCCCAGACTCAAAACTCTTCTCAGATAAGTATGTATGGATCAAGAAAAACAAAGGTAAGGAAAACAGAAGCTTCAAAGCACAAATCAGCTGGGACCAGGATAGTCAAAGTAGTCAATGGGAGCATCTGCAGAAGAATCATCTGGTCTTGATGCAGATGATGTTGCTTGAGAACTACCCTCATTTGTTACAGATTTTGCTTCCTTCAGAGTAATTTCAGCATTTTTGCGCTCACTCATAATAGGTGGAGCCGAGATCACTCGCTTGCCATGTTCACGTTGAACAACTACTACAAGGCTGTGACTTGGCATCCAGCAGGTGGCTCGTGGAGCAGTCACAATGATGCTTCTGTTTGGTTCTTCATCAATAGCCACAGATTCACATCCAAAGTGCTCACAATACTCATGAATGAACTGACGTTTTTCACGGCCACTTGGAGGGAAAGTGTAGCTGCGGCTTTTTTGCTTAGACTGCTTGGCCAACTGAACCAATTCTGCAAGCTTTTCATGCACCATCTGAGCAAACTGGGGCTGCTTCAAGCCCATATCCTTCATGAACTGACTGTATTGTGGGGACCGAAGCTTGCTTTCCAGGTCTGGATTCTGGATCTGAAGTGCTAATGCCAAACGGCGATTTCGGTCCAGACGGGCACACTCTTCATTGCACTCAATTTTCATGGGGATTCCCCCCTTGAAGAGATTGGAGACATCCAAAGTCTCACCAGACTGAGCTGCAGCAACCTGAGATGCCAAGAGAGCTGTTGTCACCTGACTGTACTCCTTGGTCTGTTGGGAGCAGGGTCGAACAGCTGTTCTATTTCCACAGAGACAACTAAGCTTTAACATCTCTTTGCATGGAGTAGATTCTGGGCAGTCCCCATCATGACAGGGAGTACGGCATGGATGACTACAGATGGGACGTGGAGCTATACATGGCTGGGTACAGGATTCCTCTTCCTCTAAGCACTTCCCACTATGACATGGCTTCTTACAAGTGTGCTGCAATGGACAGTCCAGCTGTTTACCGCAAGGACGTCCACATGAAACACTGTCCTGAAAGCAAGGAATGTGCTTTCGCACTTCCTTACCACAATGACACCTTTTCTCAGTCAAATGTGTGCAGGGTGGACAGGAAGGATCACTATGACAATTATGCATCACAGAATGATCACAGGAATGAGGTCGACGGCATGGCTGATCACAGACGGGAGGCCTTGTCCCACATGGTACAGGAGGAAACATCACCTGTGATGCACAATGACAGTAGAGCTCATCAAAGCTGCTTCTCCAACAGGGGGGACAATTGCCACGGTGACACGTCTCTTCACACTTATGTAGACCACAAGACAATTTCTTCCCACAGATCTGAGGGCAGGCATGATCAACATCAATACAGCAGTTCCGCTGGCATTTGTGTCTGGAGCAGGAGAGACGCTTGAGGCAGCGCTTCTCACACAAGATCTCATCTGACTTGGAATGAAGTTCTTTGCATGGAACTTCTTTTTCTAAATATCCACAACGGCAACGAACAGGTGTGACCCCCGAGCAAGGAGGGCAGTGACCCATGTGACAAGTGGCCTGGCAAGTATGCCTCTGATCTGCTGGTCCACAGGAAAGAATTCTTTTGCATAGTTTATCACAGGTTGGTATGGGATCCATACAACTCTGCCTTGGGGTTTGATTCAATTGCCTCTCAAGCTGTGCCAGGTTAGTTTCACCACAAGGGCAAGTTTGTACAACAGATGGGATCAGTGCACAGGGTGGACAATCACCCTCATGACATTTTGAGCTGCATTCATGATTTCCACAGCTAAGGGTCTTCATACATTTACCCTCACATTCATAGTGCAAAGAACCAGCAGTCTCAGAATTGCAGGGAAGAGACTGGGAATCCTTGCCACAGTAACACACTTGACTTACTGTCTCTTGACAATCTTCACACGGGCCAAGATGACACTGCTTCTGGCATTTATGCACTCCACAGTTCAATATTTTCCCACACTTCTCCTCACAGAGAAACTGCCCAATGCCACAGCGAATATCTTTTGTCACTTTACCACAAGGGCAAGATCGTCTCACTTGAGCATTGCATGAAGGGCATGGACCAGGATGACAGAGAATTGTGCAGGAATGATTGCACAGAGGATTGGGTCGTTCCTGACCACAAACTTCTCCACAGGAATGAGGAATATCACGACGATTCCACTCCGGCTCTCGCATTTTACTACAGAAGCAACGGTAGATATTCGGCATTTGCCTATAACACTCCTGGCAGGCAGGACACCTCCAGCCTTGATCACCAGAATGAGATGACTTGGCCCACTTCTTGGCACAGAGAAGATGAAATACATGGTAGCATTTCGTGCAAGACCACACTGGGTCCTTCTGTCGCACTTGATCACAGCAGACCATGCACTCATAGGTTCCATTTGTCAACTGTTGCACTAGATTTTCCCGCTGTGATACTTGTGAAACTTCCTCCCTAGTCCTCCTTGAACCACCCCTACGTGGACCACCACTATATTTATAGCTTGGCCTCACATGCACAGTGGAATTGGTAGCAACTGCTTCTCCACCTCTATGATTATCTGCCTGGTCTCCTCTTGCTCCTATAAAAATGAACAGTATATTATATACTTCTTGGCATTAATGGCTCAGATAAGGTGTATAATTTAAAAAATGTATGGTATGATCAAGAAAGATTGTTTGACTTGTTTTCCCATTATGTATTTTTCTACTCTCGCTCCAATTAGGTTTTTTTAAATTACACTTTTTAAATGTACAATATAAATATATACATTTTAAAATTTTAACTGATATTATTGGTCATGTTTTGGTTATAGAGAGTATGACATACAGCGAAGACATACAGAGTATGTCTTCGCTGTTAACAGGCCTCCAGCTAGTCCATGAATTGCCTCAAGTTTTGAGGAGGTCAACTCCTATGTTACAACTTGCCAAAGTGAAAATATGAGGGTCATCTCAGAAGTTCAGAGAAAGACCCTGCTATGTTATAGGTTTGGCAGATAAGCCACCCTGCAAGTGCTATGCTTGATGATACCATACCCTATAAAAGACAAAGGCAAGCAATCATTTGCATGCAAGATGGGAACATCTAAATGTATTACACATAGCAGATGGTGCTTAAAAATTGCACTGAGATTTTTGCATTTATTTCTCAACTTCCAGAGGTCTATAAATCATACCAGGTATACATCTATCTTTCCAATCGGCCCCATGAAAACAATGCATTTACAGCTGCTAGAGTACACCCACAGCAGCTGTTTGAGATATCTTGCTTTCCATTTCATGATGGACTTGCAGATCTCAGCAATCATCTCATTCCAGGCCAGCTGAATACTGGCTCTAGGTTCAGCAATGGAGTGATCCAATTCGGATCATTTGACCCACCAGCTAGACTTATAATGCCCAGATAGACATCAGCTTGATGCCATACTGGTGCAGTAGCCTCTCCTTCCAAACTATACGAAGAATGAAAAATATTGAGGTGGCTTCACCACAAGCCTCTGTGGATGCACTCTGGTTGCTATAAATGTATAGTTAGCATGAGGCTGAAATGAAACTATATACTTGAAATGATTTGTACAAGGGCCTCTGCTCATCTGGGAGTTGAGAAACAAACGCAAATATTTCGATGCATTTGTTTTTTACCACCCAGTAGTACCAACAAATTGGTTAGCTGCAAAGCCCTTGAGGTAATGAAATTTTTGTCTTAGTACTTTTGAGGTGTTTGGAATACTGGTCCACAAGTTCCCAGAGGCAGGCTCATATTGTCAAGCAGGTATGAAAGTCAGAAATCAGGTTAAACTTTTCTGGTTAAAACTGGTTAAATGAGCATTTCAAACAATGGCATAATGTATCATTTATTTTAAATAGCAAAACTAGTCCAAGGATGTGAAGTTGCTTTTTTTCCAGAAGGAATGAACCTTGAGTCTTAAGAATAAACTTTTAAAAATTATATGGCCAGTTCATGTAGAAATGTGATGCCAAATGTTGCCACTCACTTTGCATTCATACTGGCAGCCATTCAATAAGTGACTGAATCTTCTCAAACATGTCAGGAATGCTGCTTCCTTATTAAATTTAATTTTATTGTATACAAACAAGGATCTACATTAAAGTCCCTAGAAAGATTTTTTCCAGGGACACCAATGATTTTCACTTCACAGTAGTTCCCATTTGCTCTGCATTTCTTCCAGGTGTACAGTTCTTACATGCATGTCTGCAGTCTGTCCTAAGCAGGAGTCTATACCTCACTTACCATGCCACTCATCAATCCATCCCAATTTGTGAATAGGTATCATTTCAACTTGGATTTGAGCTGTAGGAGGTGAAAATCACAGGGTGCCATGTCCAGTGAGTAAGGTTGAAGACTGAGGGTTGTGATTGAGTAATAGGTCAACAATTGGCCAAAATATATATAAACCAGTTGCTGCAGCATGACAATGAACTCATCCCTCAGTTGTCATGTCCATCTTTCCATCATGCCACTCAACTGCAACTGTCAGCCATCCACCCAATTCAATGGAATTGGCACCCAGTAGCATCTTCCTTCTGCAACTCAGGAACATGTTGAATGGACAGAGATCCATCCAGAGACCAGGATACAATTATGAGTTTATGACAAGTTAGTCTTGCAAAAGACAGACAGCAGACAGAAAAACAAATTTACACCTCTTGAAAAGGTATATACACTCGAAGGGAGACTACTGTGAAGGGAACCATGTCACCATGGAGTGAACAATACTGGTACCCCAGTAAAAGAACTCTCTTGGAGCTTTTTGATAGTCTCTTGTATGTGTCCACAAGCTCTCTAGAGCTATGAAGTGAATAGTGTTTCCAACAATGCAGACTCACCTGCTGAATCCTCCTGTTGCTGCGAGTTTCTCAAAGGTTGTCGATTTCTCCGAGGTTCATCTTGTTGCCTGGCCTGTCTGCCTCTGAATCTTCCATTTCCTCTGGGATTAGGGCCATGTGCCTCATAACCATTATTGTAGTGCCTATCATTGGGATACCCACCATAATAATTCTGCCATCTTTGTGGTGAATTTTCATCACAATGGTAAGGACCCCATGCTGGTTCATGGTACTGGCTATACTGATGTGGATCAAAGTAGACTTGAGCATTATAGCCATAATCCCATGATGGGTTCCCATTGTAGTACTGCCGGTTGTGCCACACACCTCTGCCCGAGGGGCGGGACCTCCCTCCTCTGCTATTACGTTGGGACATTCTGGGAAAGTTGAAGCTGAACTTTGAGTGATGATAAAGGTCCCATCAAGGGCAGAAATAGGCAAAGATATCTATATTCTACTACTGCAGAGAGCTCAGAGACTTTACATTACTAACTCATTGCATTCAATGCCTGCATGCATCCCAAAGACAAGGCAGAATGTGCCCTTCTCCCACAACAGGAAACTTGGGGGGCAAAAGTTTATATGATTTGTTTTTTTCAATGCAACTTGTTCCTGGTCAGACTAAAAGTTCACAAAATAAACTGAGAATTTCTTTTGATAATAACTCATTTATTGCTTTCTCTTTGTGTCAACAAACTAGATCAACCCAGATGTCAACGTCAACAGAATGCTTTCTGCAAGAAATCTCATGGAGACTAGGTTCATCATCATCTCATCTTGCTGTGAGAGTTTTTACCTCATTATAAGTAAATTCAGAATGAACACTACAATCAAACCTTCTTATCAGAAATTTGGAGGGAAATATTCATCCAGTTCATGTTTTCAAATGAAGGATAGTTTGTGTTGAAAGTACAACATTGATAAAATGAACTGCTTCATGTGTCCCCTATGAAACTGGTCATTGTTGCTTCACTTTCAACAAATATTACATTTAATATGAACTGAATACATAGTTCTCAAATTTCTCTTAACAAGGTTAGATTGTATATCAGCCTGATGTATTTTAGTTAATACCATTGCCTCAAGTACTGTGCTGCAGTACATATCTGGCTGCTTTTGTTGCATTGATGCAGTTTTGGAAATTCCCAAGGACTAAGGAAACAACATCACCATAAGTTTTGATTCTGGTTGCATTTGCATGACTGATAGAAGATAGAAGATCACCTAAAAACCATATTGTCCAGAATTTGCAGCGACTTCAAGTAAATTTAGCATCAGATATGAAATAGATGGAACTTGAAAATAAAAAGGCACAATTAGCATGTCTGAACAAGAAGTTATCATTTCTGAGAAGTGGAATACATTTACTCTCTGTGTAGGCATAGATCAAGGCAGGAGTAACCATCCAAATGAATCATAGGAATCATTCTCATAGACCAGTATAGCTAAGAAAATGAAAAAAGATAGCCTATTCCATCCCTGCTTTCAGATGTGGGTCTTTAGAGTTTTTGCATCTATGCGAAGCTGAATGAAACTCATCAGAGTGGAACGATCCAGTGCAGCCTGAAAGAAAAATAATAAAGTGATCCAGTTCAGTTCCTTACCTGTGGAGTAGATACTTAAAAAAAAAAAAAAAAAGTCTCCTTAACCTTAGTAGGAACTCACCAGCTGTTCTCCAGCACAAACTTGCTGAAGGTTTTCAGGAGGAACAATAAGGAGATTACAAAGGGCATGCAGCAATTCGAAGAGTTTGTTCACTAAAGGGACCTGGAATCCCTGGGCACACCGGCTGTATTCATTCACATCACAGATCACACACATGGCACCTATTGCAGTATATAGAAACATTGGAATAAGTTAACTAAGCAGTAAAATTGCATTGATCACCAAGAAGCAGTCTTAACATACCAATAGAGCTGTATTGAAATGTAAGGAGATGATCATAGACCACTCGGTGGAATCGCACCCCTAGTTCCTGCAGGGCTGTTTCAATATTCTTTCCGTCCAGAGTTCGACGGATCCTCCCTGAGACTTCTTCCAAATAGCGTACAACTTTTGTGCAAGCCTAAATGAAAATTTTGTCACTACCTCAAGTTCTTTAAACCAAAAGTATCCAAGGATGAGCAAAGGAAAACCAACTAACTTTAGAAGAGGTAGCAATGGCTTCCCCTTCTGGCTTGAAGTCTGTCTTTTTCTGCTCAGACTGCAGGATGTGCTTCACCCAACCACATATGGCATTCAGGTACCTTTGAAAGTTCCAAGTGATAAAGTGGATAAAATTCATGTGAAAAGAACAGCATGAAACATTAGTTGAAGGGTATCCATAAAATTAAGATGAAAAACAGACAACAAAAAAACCCACTTGTTGATACCAGTGTGAATTTTCTTCTCACATTCATTCAGTATCACCCGTTTCCTATGAAGGCAATCAGCATACTCTGGACTTGACCTGAACAAAAAGAGAAACACCCTTACTTTTTGATTAAAAAATGCAAAGGTTCAGTGAGGTGAACCATATAGAGACATGCAGCCAACATACGCAAGCAACGGGACGAGATTCTCCACAAAGAGCTTCTCATGATAGCTGACAATGGTGTTGATCTGTCGTATCACTTCAAAGAAATTCCCGGCAGGAGGACTCTTTGGTTCAGGACCAGGTATGGCAGCAAGTGCAAGGTCAAGTGCATATGCAACATGCTCAGTCAGAAGACAGTGCACTAGGATTTCATAGATGTGAGCTGCATTTCCAGCCAATTCAGTTTCCTTGGATAGCTGGAAGGATGCCAAACATTATCAATACTTCAGGAATTTTCTATGGATATCAGAATTTTTCTTATTTAAATCCAATGCATGCAAGGTAGAAAGAAATTATTTTAATTGCCACCATCATTAGGTTAGAAAGATTTAGTACTGAAATTAAAAAGTGTCACAGAAAAGCTCTCAGTACAATCAAGTACCACCTCAAGTGATAAAGCAATGTGAATTACCAGTTGGCATCGTTTGAGGGCATTCTTTGTCTCCTCAAGGATGTTCAGAGCAATCAATTCAGATAGAAAGGTCTCATCTCCTTCTCCTTGTCCACTTTGAGTTATCTGCGTGATGAACTCTCCTATTCTGTTAATGAAACCATATACTTCACCACATGATCCATGGAATCAAACCTGGCATGAACAAATATATTACTGACCCCTTCCCCTGGGTGGGCTTCTTCACATGGTGGAGAGAGGTATAGTACTTGGCAAGGATATCCCCACACACATCCTTCAGGTAGCGTGCCTCAACTCTGCAAGTTCATGTACGTTTGATTTGTGACAACACCTCATTGCATATGTAACATAGATATGTGCAAACATACTTCCGATAATTCTCCAGTTGTTTCTGAAATATATTCTTCACAACCCGCTTGATGATGTTCCTGTCCACTAAGGGATGGGCATCACAAATCTCCTTGGACATGGTATTGGTTCTATGGAATCAACCAAATGGCAACTGAATTCACTCCACATTCAAATGAAGCAAAAAATAATAGCAATGCAAAGAGACTCACTTTGAATACAATTTGCTCAAGTTTTCCAAGTATTTTCCAGGGTCACTACGATCACCCAAAACATACTGAATCTCATCCTAAAAATAGAGAAAATATAAACACCTTTCAGATCATAGTTATAGGGAAAAGAATATAGCATCTGCTTTCAAGAGCACTCCTTCCCTCTACCTGTAGTTTTCCTGTATATAGGCTGTACAACAGCTTTTGGTTGACTTGTTCAGGATTGGCAAACACATCATTGACCAATGCCACTGTCCGTTTGTACAAGGTTGGGATTTGATGGAAAATATCACCTCGTGGAAAGGCACCCTGATCATAAAAAGCATGTCACTGAAAAGCACAGAATCCATGACCTCAAAAGGGATAAGATTGGTAACTCACAGCTTGACAATTTTCAAGGAAACCATGTACACATTGTGAATAACCTTTGAATGGGCGGAGTATCATGGCTAGCTGCCGCATGCGTCCACTGTCATCCGAGCGATATGCAGCTCCAAATTCTTCTAATAAATGCTTTTCCATTTTGTCATATTCACTCACTATCCTGTCTTGTGTGACTTTGAACCTTAAAGGAAAAGCAGTAAAAGCTCTCAATATGAACAGAAACAAGAACCCAATATTAAGAAGAACATTTCTCACTTGGGTGGTAGTTCCAGTGCCACTGTATAAAGTTTCTGGATCATATCAGCAGCCTCTCCCAACTATCAAATGAAAATAACCTTATCAAAGCAAAAACATTAAACTTACCATCCTCACCATAGGAAAGTCTTAAATGATTTCTCATAGGCCTACAAATGTAGGTCTATAAGATATAACTTCAGCAAAGTTATATTGCTATATAGTTCATACTCCCAAAAATCACCAGAATCATGGTTCCACCTCCAAAACAGGAGGCTATAAGCTATGCAGAATGCTTAGGCCATGTGTTTACTAGAGGCATCACCATGGCATAACACTAAAACTTAAAAGGGAACCAATTCCTGCAACATTTTGTACTATGGAAACTGATGTTCACCCACAGAACCCTGTCCCAATTGAAGGCATGGTTTCCTTACCAATTCAGGAACCTGTCCCCAATCAATAGTGCCAAATATCACTTAGATTAAAGAAGATATCATAATATATTATTGCAAACCTACTAACTTGACATCTTGACACTCCAGTTTAGAGTCTTGGATTAAATTCTGGATAGCATAATTTTGACTTCTGTGATGCTTATAATCAAGACAGTCCTGCATTCATGTTAAAAATATACAGTAGCCTCACTTGTTCAGGGTCATCAAAGAGATCAGATGGGAGAGTGCCATCCCTGTGAAAGCGTGCAAAGTGAACCATAAGGTTTTTAGCTTCCAGAACCCTAGCTCTTGGAATGTGAACTCCTTCCAATTGGTCCCCCAGCCTCACAACTTGGTGGGCCACTGCAGTGATCCTCACCTCCAATGCCTTGTATGCTTGTACAGCTGCCTATAACAAGCATTCCTGCTGGTAAGACTCTATAATACATTTTATAACAAAACTTGCTTGCACAAAAGATGACATACCCTGTGCTTAGCCTCAAGGTTGACAATTCTCTCCCAATGCGCCTGCTCTGTTTCCCGCAGAGAACTCTCTAAGGTTCCACATTTCCGCTCAATCTGGGTCTGGAGGGCTTGAAGATCCCTGGAAACATGTGGCCACTTGTGATGACCTTGGCCAGAAGCATCCAAAACAGGAAGTTGAATGAGTGTTTCACTCACTGAATGGTTTTCAAGAACCCATTATGTAGGTCCTTGGCATTGAAGTTGACTCTGTCACCTTCTGTGAACCGCCATTCGTGTCTTTCAACAAATTCTTCAGGATCAAAGTTTTCCTGGTCATGAGCAGAACAAAATATATGTTAAACACACTTGGAAATGAGAACAAGATACAGTGAAAACTCGTTAACTCTAACTTTTAGGGACCGGGCAAATCGTTTCGAGTTATCCGAAGTTCAAGTTATCAGGAATCCCCCCCCCCCCCCCAAAAAAAAAAACTCACGTTTAGGGACAACCAGAGGGCGATTTTTCCGCCCACAAAAGTCCGATTTCACGGAGCGACGACCTTCCCATTATAATAGGCTTTTATTCATCACAAATGAAACTTTAATACTCCATATGCAAAATTCATTTATTGCAACGCCTTTCACCTGGGGCTCTCTTGGTTTTATCCTTTTCTGACATGTAATCAGTGATCTTCATTTGCTTTGTAAAAGAACTTGCAATAGAGAAGTGGAAGTCCTCCAATTTCCCTACTGCCTCGAACAAGTCGACTGGCACCTCCCCTCGCTAGAGGAGGAATTTTCTCACAATCGCCAGTGCATAATTGGCATCGCTCAAAGACGGCGGCAGAGCATTGTACGTTGCCTCCTGCTCTCCATCACTCTCATCCCCGGGCTCGCTCTCTTGTGAGCGATCTTTGATGTCGGCAATGATGGATGCCTCAGTGACTGGCTCAGTAACAATGAAGTCAACATCGCAATGAACAAAGTGAATGACACATCACAGTTCATGATATGAGCCACAGCACTCCAAGAATGCGGATCACATGAGATTTCCATCTCCTCGACTTCCTCATGAACATCACTTCTGTGCACAAATCCTGCTTTTCTGAAGCTGTTTGCAACAGTGGACGACCGTACGTCTCACCATGCCAAAAACAACATGTGAATTGCATCTAGTAGAGTCACACAAACTTCTTTCTTTTCATCAATGGCGGAAATGATGCCTTGGATGAGCCGCTTCCTGTAGTGCACCTTCAGATTGCGAATCACTCCCATGTCCATAGGTTGAAGTATGGAGGTCGTGTTTGGAGGGAGAAACATCAAATTCACCGCTGTCAGACCTTGAACGTGTGGATGAGCAGGGCAGATGTCAACAGTCACCAGAATTTTCCTTTACTGTTTCAGCATCTTATATTCCAATTGCATCAGCCACTCCGTGAATATTGTTGACGTCATCCAAGCCTTCTTCGATGACTTGTAACGAACAGGCAGGGACTTTACATTCTTGAAACATCGTGGGTTTGCGGATTTTCCTATCACCAACAATGGGAGTTTTTCGGTCCCATCCTTGTTTGCACCAACGAGGACTGTGATTCTGTCCTTGTTCTTTTTCCCACCAAGGCAAGGGTCATGGAGAAAAGTCATGGTTTTGTCTGGCATCAGCTTGAAAAATAAGCCTGTTTCATCAGCATTAAGCATTCAGGCCTGTAGCAACCTAGAGCATGCAAGAGTTTCTTCCTCGATCCAACTTTCGCATTCCTTCTGTGGAACATCTGCACTTTCCCCACAAATTCGTCAGAACATGATGCCATGACGGTGCTTGAATCGTTCCAGCCAACCAACACTTGCACTAAAATCAACTCCAAGTTCCTATCCAAGTTGATCAGCTTTTTCTCTCATCAGTGTTCCAGACACGGGAGTGGTGCTGTCACGAACTTCACGAAACCCTCTCAGGAGAGCCGCTTCCAAGTCCTCATTCTTGGCTGTCTTCGTCTTCTTGCAACTTGCTGTAAATAGGCGCTCCTCATGTGCAGTCACAACCTTATCTTTGCTGCGTATAATGGTAGAGAGTGTAGAGGGAGGAATCCCGAAATTCTCTGCGATGTCTTTCTTCTTCAGCTGGCCTTCTTCGACAGTCCGAATCAAGTGCACCTTCTCTTCGAGCGTCAGAGTCTTCAATTTCCTCTTGAGTGAACTCATTCCACACAAATGCCGTAAAGGAAGTAGAATATGACTAGAATGGCTCGGAGTGAGAGCAATAAATAGACAGAGCGAATGTTGGAGGTTGCTTTTTTATAGCCGAAGCTTTTCGGTTTTAATCCTCAGGTTTAATCCTCTCCACAGGCGTCTGCGTGGGAGGAAGGGGAAGCAGAAAAAAAAACAAAAGAAACAAAAGAACATCCTCCCGAACGGGTTTCTTGTCATTCATCCTATTCAAAAATCGAAAAGTCCCACGAGAAGAATTTTTCCCCCCTTCGCACCCTGAATTCGAGTTAACCGTGAGAAAATCGTTATCGGGAGTGAAAATGTCATTCGAGATATCCGGAAATTCGAGATAAGCGAATTCGAGTTAAACGGAGCATTTAACATGGTGTCCTACGGGGTTCCGCCGGGACCAAGCATTCAAGTTCGAGATAAGCGGAATTTCGACTTATCAGGATTCGAGTTAACGAGTTTTCACTGTAATATGAAAACTGTTTTTCATTAGTTTTCTCATTTCTTCATCCACTTTCCCTTTTCAGGCATTATAGCAGTTCAGTATCAGTTTTCATGTCCTCAATGAATGGGTAGTCTCTATATCCTAGATGAACGACCCAATATCACTGGTTAATTACGACTCAAAGCTCGATCCAGGACTTACAGGCTAGAATTGGTTAATGATTGGTTACCTTCAGGTTTTCAAGCCAATTCCAAGAGACCACATAAAGTTCGACCTGCGATGGAACCATTTTGGGCACCTTGGGGTGGAAAGCTTTAAATGTTCCGTTAATGGTATTGGTTATCCCCAAATGCTGCATCCAACAATAGGAAGGACACGAGTCTCGCTCTACATGCATATACCTCGTATACGTACTGCCCTCCAAATGTCTACCAATGTTTTTTCGTGATCGAAATTCTCATCACCAACAGCATCATCTGGAAAAATGCTAAATTCCTCGGACAGCATAATCTGTTATCTTTGCAAAGCATCCACTCGTGTCATGATTTGTGCAATCGTTTGCCCTAAATTCGCCTCAGAATCCAGTTGGATCGTTTTTACAGCGTAAAACAATTAAAATTCGTCCCAACTGATTTTTTTGAAAGATTACTTCTCTTCTTGCATGCCATGCGAGAAACATGTTTTCTCTGTGCATATAAAGGAACATACTGCTGTCTGTGTCCTCCAAAACTTTTGCCAAAACTCTTGTCCACGATCGGGAAGGTCTCGAAGCTCGGGAGTTGGATACCCCATGCTTCGACACGGAAGGACCCCCACCAGCGTTGCGACACCTGTGCAATTCTCTCCCGCTATGGCGCTTCGACTGGCTCGACGACGTCGTCGCGGGGGATGAGAAGCGGGTGATGTACGCGAATCATATCCGCAAGCGTCAGTGGGTAGACGCCGATGAAGAGCCTCAGCCGGAGCCGAAAGGTGACCTACACCCCCGCAAGGTGATGCTCGACGTATGGTGGGACGTGAAAGGTGTTGTAATGATCGAGCTGCTTCCTCCCAACACCACCATCACGGCGGTCTACTACTGTGACCGACTGGAGAGATTCAGCCAGAAACTCTCAACGGCTCGGCCGGGACGTGACCAAGTGCCGTTCCTCCACGACGATGCCCGGCCGCATACAGCAAAGATGATCCACCTCAAACTCCTCACCCTCGGATGGGAGAGTCTGCCGCACCCACCGTACTCCCCAAACCTGCACGCCCTGCCGAACCGCCTCAGAGAGAAAAAGTTCGACGACCAGAAAGACCTCGAATGCTACTTGCGACAGTTCTTTGAGTCTCAGCCCCCATCGTTCTACCACGGCGGATCAATCGCGAAAAAGTGTTGAAACACATTTGGAGGGCAGCATATACCAGCATTTCTTTAGGTTAGGCTGATCTCCGAAAACCTCCAAATATATAAATACTAAGGAAGGAGGGAGAGATATAGAAAAATCCTCCAATGTGAATGACAAGCGAAGAATTCGATTCCCTGTTCTGCGCATGCCAGGAGGGAAGAACTTCAAGTTTCAGGGAGTGATTCTGTATTCGAAGAGTTCCGAGCATGTTCAATTTCATTCTCTTTATTGCTCACAGACAAGCGCGAGGAGAACTTTTGTAAGGTTTGGTTTTAAGATTTTGAGGTTTAAATGTTTTTTCACACTTTAATTTGTGGGACACCCTGTAGAGTACTCTTCATTCAGGAAAGTGGGATGGAATGATACAATAGCTTTTGGTTTCGTTGAGATCTGTTTCAATCTTAAGTTAGATTTGCTCTTAATCTCGACGTACCAACTGCTCCTTTATGCGGGACTCCTTATCTTGATTCTGTTGCTCCTGCAGCTTCCGTTCCATCTCTCCTACCTGTAATGACCAGTCAATCCTCACCTTTAATATACAGGGTGGGCCAAAAGTAAGGTTACACTCAACAACTCATATTATTTAAAAAGTCATTTACGTTGGCTTACATGATTTCAAAGGAAAAAATTTGCTTTGAACTTTGTTATTTTAAAATATTTAGGATTATAAATTGTAGCTTCAATATATATTATATATTTTCATTGTTGTTTTAACATGGAACTCTTAGTCTAACCTTACTATTAGCCCACCCTGTATATAAGGAATTCTTTACTCTTGGCAAAAGAGAATGAGCAAATAATGAAAGTAAGATACCTGAGCTTTGGTTTCGTCGAGCTCTGTCTCCATCTTTTGTTTCATTCGCTCTATTTCCTCACGCACGGATTTTTCTTTTTCCAGTTCCTTCTCAAGTACTTTCCTTTTTGCTTCATCTTTCGTTTTCAACCCTTTCTCCGTAGCCAATTTCTTCGACATGCTATCCAGTCGTTTTTCCAGCTCCTTCACCTTCTTAATCTAAATGAAGATGGAAGAATGGATATGAATTCTTCATATTTATTAGGCTTGTGTGCAGTGATGAGTCTAATGCGAAAATTGAATATTTCATATAATACATCAACATTTTCAAAGTTATGTATATTTTGTTCGTCAATCAATTTTTCTCGATTTCCGGTACATTGATCCTTCGGAAATGATGAATGGTATGAATGATGAATGCATGATAGACAAATACATGTTTTCTCAGGTGAAGTGGTTTCATTCCATTACTTAAAGCAAGTGAATTTTTAGAATTTAATTTTTAATTAGAGAATCTTTGAGTTGATTGGGCATGAAGTGTTTAGACATACACATATCAAAATCATGTTCAACTTCAGGGAAAATTTCCCATTTAGTTTAGTGCATTCAGCGTGGCTTTAGAAACATATTCATGCGTAACAAGAATTATTATGTTTTACATATTTCAAAAGCACAAAAAATTTCACAACTCTTGAAGTTATCAGTTTTGCCAGAAATCGAGTCCTCATTTTCTGTTGTATTTTCTCATTTTCCTCCTCCATATCCTTTTTCATTCTCCATTCCATTATGTACGTTGAAAACATACGGTAAGGGAAAATGGGAAAGAATTCTAGAAGAAAGAAAGTAATCTGGAAAATCTTCAGAACCTCTAAGTTCCAACTTAGAAACGTGAATTCACATGGTGAATCCTAAGTCTGTTAAAATAAGTTTTACGCGTCTAATTTATTTTATTCATGTCGCTGCCTGGTTTGGTTGTTTAATTTTCCCACACATTATTGCTCTATATATACTTGTTCATGTCATGAGAATGGTCGGAAGCGTGGATAACAGGAGAGGACGAAAGAAAGCCAGGGACGGCCAGGAATAGAACCCAGGCCTCCTGATTGCCGGTCAGGTGTGCTACCATTACACCACCGAACCCGGGACATTCGATTATGCCTCTCAATGTAATCCTTATCATTACACCATCCCCTCCTTAAGGAAGTCTGGACCTGCAGGCTTTAGTGCACAAATGACTGCCGGTCTTTTCGGATGCTTGGGTGGTGAGTACATGGGAGTATACACAAATGTCCTAAATGGGACGAAAGTCCTCTGAGACTATACGCAATCGGGCGCCTCTCGACTCCACCGTGCTTCTTCACAAATCCACCCTCACTACTCGTGCCACGGTCAGTCAGCTTCCAATACATTACAGGTCCCTTTACTTCTGACACCAATGTCATGCAGATGTGGCCTGTAGAAGGAGGAGTTGGAAGGCATGAGAGAACGAAAAAAAGCCAGGGGTCGACCGGGAATTGAACCCAGGCCTTCTGATTGCCGATCAGGTGTGCTACCACTACACCACAGAACCCAAGACATTGAATCATACTTCTCAATGCCATACCTAACACTACAATGTACTTTTTTTATTTATAACCGGAAGTAATTCACAGTAAGTTTTCAGGCAATGCTACCTGATGTCAAAAAAAACAGACTATTTTGTGGAGCGCAGATGTACCTCATTTGTTCGGGGGAATTTTTCACATTGATTTTTGATGAATACTATTATCAGTTTATCTTAGCAATGTGAATAAGAAAAATATGAAGAGTCGGAGTCATTTAGTGCCTTTCATTTTTAGTGATTTCTAGGCCAATCAATGTTCTTATGTGTCATGCCATCATGTAATGCAATGCGAGTATGAGCACGGGAAATGGAGGACTAACTTCTGGTTTCGTAGAAGGTGCTTGATCTTCCCCGGTATTCAGTCCCTGGAGAGGAACGATATTAACGAGTAACCTCTGAAAGGGCAAGAGAGAGAGGAAATTAATCGATTCACCATCTTCTTCAGCAACTCTAGTAGCACTTCCTGACTGAAATGCTGTTGGGATATCTCCCCATTGGGATATCGAGTCTGCAGCAGATAGAAGAGACGTTATTTGAAGGAGATACAAGCGAGTGCATCATGAACACTTCATTCCAACCTTAAGAAAACGTCAGTACCTCCATTTCAACAGTAAATGGAAGACTTGGTTCTATTGGTGGCATCCATTGGTTGCTGGATGGAGGAGAGAAGAAAGTATGGATTGAAAGGTTTCAGAGTCTATATTAGTAGCCAATCATACGTCATTAATAATTTATTACAACTTTGCAGGACTCACCCATGTACATCGTACTGGTTTCCATATTGGTTTGGGTCAGGAATCATTTGATGATCCACCATTGGATGTCCCTGATAAGAATCCGCACCATGTGGCATTGAGAAAGGAACATTGGACTGGAATTGGGGCATCTGATAATTCATTGGATTATGCATGAGGTAAGGATCCTGGTTCCCAGGAAAGGGCCCTCGCTGATGGGAAAGTCGAGTTGGGTGTATTTCTTGCTGAGGGTTTTGCGTTGCGTCAGGCGATGTGAATTGGCTGTCAATGTGAGCCTGAAGAGCTTTCACTTGCATTTTTAGCTGGTTTGCAAGAAGCAATGCTTGCTGGTGAGGAAGTTTAGGGAATAGCTTTGGATCTAACTGTGTTGCTGGTCCGACTTCCATGAAAGACGGCACATATTGGGAATGCAGTTCTGCTACAGGAGGGATTTCTTGCTCATGTACCATTCCCTCCTGACCTTGTTTGCCTTGCTCCATGGCCGAAGAAGGTACAACTGGCTCTTCGCTTTGAGTTCACCACATCATGGAAATTTAATAAAGGAGTCAATTAATTGAAACGAACAAAGTGAAATTGTTGCCAGCCTTAAGCAAAGCTTCTTCAATTGATTTTTAGAAAAGTGAGAAAGCGCTACTTTAAAAGTCTGTCCTGGTCTTTTGCAAGGGATTTCACCAGAAATTGAGCGATTTTGCCTCTGAGACAAAGGGAGAAAGGCCGAAGCAAAGAGATACAGAAAATATAGCCACAGGCAATCCAGGAAATGCTGGAATGATGAGATCCAGTCACTCCAGTGAAACACTAGACAGAGAAAGGAAGGAAAAGAAAGCAATCCTCCCTTCGTCCACTTTTTCCTCCTGAGCTTCTACCCAGTCTAGATATCGAAAGCACTTATAAGGATAAGAAAATACGTCTTATCGGATATACACATGAACTAGAGTACATGTCCTCCCTCATCTGGTTCAGAAGGTCCACCTGAGACTCTAAAAATACAGGGTCGGTAATGAGTCTCAAGTCGTTTTCGAGTAATTATTCTTTCATCGAATGTACATGCAATTATAACCTTTCCAAAAAATTATTTTCTCCAATGGAAAATAGAAGTCCATATGGTGTTGAAGAGCACTGTGTGGCGTCTCTGTGCATTGCAAAGGGAACCGCCGAGCTATCAGAGGACATGAAGGAAGCTTTTATGAGGCGTTATCTTTTTAAAGTGGCAGCTTTTTTGTTAAAGAGAGGAAAAGTCATGACGTTATTTTGGAAATTTAATGCTTGACATTTGAGCTCAGTGTGTCAACGGTCACGTTATTGCCAAGTTTCAGCTTTCCATGTGTCTCCGTTTGAAGCAAAGAGAACTGTTTGAAAATATGTGCCCCTATAGCATTCATCACCAACGTAGAACTTTTCCTGACCTCAGCATGCGAAAATGTGAACTTATGTCAGTCAGTCAGCTACTCACGATCGTCCATATATAATAAAAGTAGAATTTTTTCTTTACTCAGCTATCCATCAGGTACGTCTTTGCCACGTTTAAACTTTCACGCGACTTTTGTTTTGCTGGATCAGAAAATTCGTGCAAATACGCCTTTTGCAAAATATGTGCCCTGAGCAGTTTTAACCGAAACGTACCTTTTTTTTTCCTTTACCGAAATCCATCCTCAGTGAACTACATGCCCACAGCGTTTTAATATTATATGTTTACCCTTTTCGGTGGTGAAAAAAATGTATAGAAAAGCCGACCCACCTAAAATCTAGGGCATTTCTCACCCCCCGGGACGACGTCGTCCCGGGGGATGAAAAGTGAGTGATGTACGTGAACCATACCCACAAGCGCCAGTGGGTAAACGCCTATGAAGAGCCGCAGCCGGAGCCGAAAGGTGACCTGCACCCCCGCAAGGTGATGCTCTCCGTATGGTGGGGAGTGAAAGGTGTTGTGATGTTCGGGACGACGTCCAGTCGAAGCGCCGTCGACGGGAGAGGAGAAGTGTACATGTGTCGGAACGCTGGTCGAGGTCCTTCTGTGCCAAAGCATGGGGTACGAGGGTTGTCCGAAAAGTTCTCTGTATTAATTTTTAAGATGAGCCACGAAGTGGGCTACCAGTTTTTGCTTCAGCACCAGCAAAAGTCCAGCAAATCGCCGACCTCCTTCAAGAAGACCGCCGAATCACCACCAGACCGAAAACTTATGAGCTGGACATCTCACCCATCTCATCGCATCGTCACTAAAAAATTGGGAAAGAAGAAGGTCGCAGGGGAGTGGGTCTTCTTCCTCCGGTCTTCCTCTGGCCCACTTCGTGGCTCATCTTCAAGGTTCGTCTTTCCCTCCAGGAAGAGCTTTGACCACTTCCGGATCGTCAAGTAAGCTGGACAGTGTTGGCCCAAGCCATTGACATCAGTTGATGGATTTCTGTCGGTGTGTCGTTGAGCAGAGCATGGAACTCGATGATGATTCGAATGCGATGTTTCGAAAATGATTCTTGCACGACGGAGGCGTCCATAGCGACTGTATGCAATATCTGGCAGCGAGTGTAAATGTGGCTAAATTTATACCAAACTTTGCTCAGTGAGTGCTATTAGATATAACCAGTGCTCACCGAAATTTAATAAAGATCCATTGAGTGTAACTCATTTTTAAAATCAATACAGAGAACTTTTCGGACCACCCACGTATCCAGCTCCCAAGCTTCGAGACCTTCTCGATTGTGGACAGGAGGTGTTCCTATGGTGGAGTGGGAACACCCGAGGGCGGCGGCCAAGTCGCGAGTGGTCATGCGGGGATCGGCTTCCACAAGTTGTAGTAGCGCATCATCCAACTCGGACGGGCGTCCCGACCTCGGCTCGTCTTCGACACTATAGTTTGGGGACTTGAAGCGAGCGAACCGATTGAAGCACGTCTTCTCACTGATGACTCCTTCCCCACACGCCTGACACAGACGGCGATGGGCGTCGGCTGCCTTCTCTCCCAGACGGAACTCATAGAGAAGGCAGGTGCGGAGGTGCTCACGGTCAAGGTGGAACATATGGCTCATGAAACAATATAAAAAGTAATTTTTAATGGCTTTCCTTTCTTCAACCTCCTCTCTACGGGACTCACTAACGTCAGGCCTCGGCCTAACCAACAGACTGCCTTCAGACGCCAAGGCCTACCTTTTTCTTTTCATAATAAACTCAATTCTCGACTTACGGCGCCAATTAGGCCTATAAGGGTGAATCGTGGTCTTCGAGACATCTTGAGGTTGAGGACGTGTAACGTTAGGCCAATCGCAGACCAATTCATACGTTCATGAACCATTTCAGAGTGGACGTGTAAGGTTAGACTGATTGAAGGCCTGTTTCGCGTTTCATGAACCATTTCAGTGGGACGTGGAACGTTTGGCCTATCTGGAGTTCCTCGAACCATCTCGAATAGGTCTGAGGCCCTCAAGAAGCATGGAATCCATGTCCTGTTAATTCAGGGATGTCCGGATAACATATCTACATATCCCACCACATCAATCAATAAATGCTAACCACACATTCATTCTCAAATCGTCTCATAAACTCAGCATTAAAGTGTCTCATACATAAAAAAAATACAGAAGATCCAGTCGCCAATACGAAGGTTGAAACAATCTTGAATCTGACTTAATTTCGGCACGGTATCCGGCAACACTAGGAGACGGTACCGGAGCTATCACTCTAAGTCTAATTGAAGACAGCTAATTTCATTTTTTTTTATAGCGAAATGAAGCATCGCAAACAGCAAAAAGCCACTTTTCGTCATCTACGAGTCAATATCTTTCTTATGGTTGGTCTGTTTCCTTCGGAAACCCCCCAGGAGTGGCTACCCAACGGGGGGGGGGGGGGAAACAGAATGAAATTCACATCTACCAAAAACGAGATACAGAGTTCTCCACGACCTGGGGAGATGGAGCTTTAAATTTGCTGGAGTGATTCTGCAGCGAGAAAGGAAGAAGTATTCCAAATTTTGTTCCTTTTGATGCTCTCAGAGAGGAATACGAGGAGGTTGAAATTTGCTGCGGGAAGGAGTTGAAGAAAGGTAATAGGCGCTACCAAAGCCTATTGACATTGGCGGTATGGGATCGAAAATACACTGAACCTGCAGGCAAGAAGGGAGACTATTTATAGGCGAAGCGGGAAAATTCTAGAAAAATCGTGAGGCTTCCTAATGAGAAAAGGCGAAATCTGCAAGAACTTTCCGGCCAACCCAATAAATGATGTTTCTTGGGAGCTACCTTCAATTTTATATTTAATTTCCCATGAATCCTCCACAGACTCCATGGTCCTACCCCATGGACCCCAGGTTAAGAACCCTGGTTTAACCTGCATGCGTTTGGAAAATTTCAGGGAGGAAATTTTCCTCCTGCTTATGGAGGGCTGCAGTTTTTGGAAAATACTGAGAAAATGTAAAATGTATTTGGAGAAGTGTCTATTTAGGCGCTCCTTAAGCAACTTGGGATCTTCAGACATCCCAAGCAGCATGTTTACGTAAACAAGGTATCAATTTATTGCAAACAATTTAAATTTCTTGCGATTACCATGAAAATGACATGACGTTTACGTCAAATTTACGTTTCTATATTTACGTCACTTAAGTGCACGTGTATTTTACATAAACTAGACGTCACTCCATCTGACATGACCCAAGTAACACAGTATGTTCATGAAACGTTTCCGAAATGTTGCCTATGTTGCTCCATGTTGCAAGTTGATCTACAACATTAATAAAACATTGCTTCAATGTTTTCACTTGGAATGTTGCTACGACAATTCTACGAATGTCATTGCAACTTTTGCTATCAACACTGAGCGAATTTTGGCACTCTTGACATCGACAACGTAGCGACAACATTCTAATGCAACATGGACTTAAAAGTTTTAGGGAATGATGTAGTTGTTCTCCTTGCCACGAGATGGAGACGTAGGTCTCGCTTTTCTCACAGTGCACAAAAGTGCCCTTCATCCTTTCCCTGGAATCGTCCCGCAAGGGAATGTTTAGTACCTTGCCAAATGTCTTGCATTGTCTCATTATAGGAATCAATGAACACGGACACATCATCACTTGTTATCCTCATATTCGAGACAGATTCATGGGGTAAACATTCTCTTATTCCCAAAAAGGAATTATTTTAATTAAAAAATCTAAAACGGAACTCTTATTACCCTTTCTAAGAACTCGTCCATTGCATTCTGTATTATAATAAAAACGATGGCAGAGTGTCTGTGACCTCAATCGTTCATATCCTCATCCTGAGAACTAGATGCAGAAAAGTTGGACTGATTTCATGGACACTCAAAAGAATATGGCGGTCGGACCTTTTCTTGTAATGTGCCACCTCGAAAAATGTCTTATGTCTCCTGTACATGATACAGATACTATATTATGTATGGGTAGGGCTTATACCAGTACAGGCTTCGTCCTGTTGATGGGAATGTCTGAGTAGAGGTAAAGTAGGGTAAAAGACCCAATGATGGGCCTGTTAATGGCGGGTACTCAGTGATGGGCCACTTTGCAGGAAAATTCCAAAAACTAGGCAATTGTTCCATGAACACCTCTGAAGTGTCTATGTGCTTGAATGCTGCTGGCATATGTCACAACATGGGTAGGCTTCCTATGGAAGCTTAGCTATTAGAATTTTTATGTGCTGTGGCCCATCACTGGGGACCGGTCCATCACTGGGTCTTTTACCCTATATGGTACGGAATGATAAAATAAATAATTCAATATTGGTCGAATATCGGTCCATTTCAGGATCAGTGCAGCCTATTCTTTTCCGTAATGCCAATATAGGCCCTGATTAGGTGCCAATGAAGCAAAACTTTTAATCAACATTGCAGCAACATAAATCCTGAAACGTTTCTGCAACGTACATATAATGAATAAGTAATGGTTTGCAACGTCAATGCAATGTTCCTATGCAACATTTGAGCAACGTTGACGTTTTGAACATTTACACATAGATGCAACATTGTTCATCAACATTTCCTAAACGTTGCTGGTATATCTTGTGTTACTTGGGAACATGCTTGAGGTTCAAACTCTTACCACATAGCGCCCCTTGACGAATGATGCAGTGGTATTTCAGCAGCTCTCGGTCAAGGAATTGCTCCAAGAGAGAAGCGCACCCTGAAACAAGTCTGCACCCTTCGTAGTTCCATGCATGGATTCAATCCAGAAGCTCTTCAATCGCGTCAAAATTATCATTGACCGCTCGAATATGGTTACCTGCGACGTGTCACAAATGTCATTTGATTCATCCATGGCCAAGGAAAACAATTTGCAAGTGGAGGCAAGAAAATTCACTTGATCAGTTACATTCTTTGCCAGTTCATCCATCCGTCTCGTGACAGTATTGCGAGAAAGAGATATGTCTTTGAATTTGGACCCCACTTGTTTGTCGCCCAACACTCTGGCTGCTATTTCAAGGCTTGGTTTTACAATTTCTTCAGCATCAGAAAATGGCTTCTTCTTCCTTCCTAATAAGAGAGCTATCTCATAGGAAGCTACAACCATGTCATTCTTTTCTTCATGTCTCTTGACAAATAGGGATTGTTGAGTTTCCAATGAACCTTTTTTCCTGGCGATATAGTCCTTGCTGTGAGCTGGTGGGATACTTCGCATCCAGGCCTGTGTGATTCGTGTTGTAGTGCCGTTCCAAGTTGTATTTTTTCAACACAGACACAGAGAAACCACACACCAGGCACACTGGCTTTCCTCCTTTTCCGACAGTGAACATGTACTTCTCTTCCCACTCTGAATTAAATTCCCGACACTCCACACCTTTGCGTTTTCTCCAACTTGGCTTGCTGAAACTCATTTTTGTTTCTCCCTTAGCGCCTCGCGGGCCACGGGTTGGGCACCACTGCAATAGGCCATAGCTGCTTGAGCATGGGCACAGCAAGATCTAATGAAATCTAACAGTGTGCAACAGAATTTAACTGGGTGCAGCCGCTTGGACACGAGCACCAAAGTTACCAATAAGATACAGGATTGCCATTACGCTCAGGAGGACGTCTGATTCGCTGTGGCCGCTGCAAGGCCGTTCGAGAATTTGAAAGTTCGTCACCATTGTCTCCTGAATCATTATTAAAATCATTGGAGACCATGTAAGGTACAGGTGAATCTTTTAAAGAAACTAGATCCTCCGTGCCTTCATCAGAATCGAATGAAGTACACTCTGAAATTTCAAGATGATGTGGTCGGGGAACAAACCTCTTTACACGGTTGTATGGAACAACTTCAAGAGTCTGAGGCCTTACACTAATAACTCGATAAGGGACAAACTCATACTTTCCACACAATTTTATTGACTTTCCTTTGGGAGTCTTTCCCAGTGCAACCCAAACCAAATCTCCTACCTCCCCTATTATTATTTTAATCTCGACGTATTATTATTATTATCAAAGTCCATTTGAAATTCCAGGCAGACATGAATTTTTGTCGAGCATCATAATGAATTTGCTTTTCTTGAGCATTTCTGAGATTGCCAAGCACTCCCTGCCTCATCTCATGTAGAGGCCGACTCACCCGCAAAAGGTTGTCTAAAGCTTGGAAGGGCATCAAATTCAATAGGAGTCCTTGGCTCAATGCGAACAGGACCTCATAAGGACTTTCCCCTAAAGACCGTTGAACTGAAGTCCTATGAGCAAAAGGAAGGGTGGGCAGCAAAGTGTCCCACTTCTCTGGACAGTCCACAACATATGATCGTAGCATAGAAAGCAGTGTACGGTTGAACCGTTCCACCAATCCATCATTGAGGATGGTACACGGCTGTGGCTGTCTTTCTAACTCCTAACAACCTACAAATCTCTGCCATCAATCTCTGCCTTCAAATGATCGACCCTAATTAGTATGAAATTGTTCTGGCAACCTAAACCTCATAAAGACTTCATCTACCAGCTTTTTAGCAATTGTTTCTGCCTTTTCATCTGGCAGGGGAAAAGCCTCAACCCACCTGGTAAAGTAATCGGACACAACTAGAATTACTTTATTGCCTAGAGGAGTTTCTGGGAGTCCTGA